CAATTTTACGGGACAGGACCCCAGAGCTATATGGCTTCCAGTGTGCATTATTCTTTAAGACAAGGGAAGAATGATCCTGTCATTGGTTCTGGGATCATCAGGGTTGCCTGTTTACTTTCAAAACAGGGAAGGACCATGGCCTTTACATCAATTGGCCAGATGACTTTTGTTCAAAGCCTTTGGGTCACCAAATCCTTATAGCTCAGACTGTCTTAAGACAATACATTTCTACAACTTATTTTTTTCTACTTTATACATATGTTCACATTAGCAAGTCAAAGTCAGCCTCATTTTTAGCAGTGTCATGATATTGGAATTAATAATACAAGTGATGTGTGATTATCTAGATTATGAAAGCTTAAAATAATGTAGAAATATGGAGCAAGATCCTATCTCCCTTTCTGTTGCCCTCCATCGCTCATCCTCCCTCATGGCCACTATTGCTTGCTTTGCCCAAGGTCACAGTAAGTTTATAGACCTTCAAGTCACATTTCTGTGCACTTATATATACTTTAAATATAATTAAAATAGAATGTACCATAAGGGTGTAGCTATAAATTATCTGTTGGCTGGGCAAAGTGGCTCACACCTGTAATCCTAGTGCTCTGGGAGGTTGAGGTGAGTGGATTGCTTGAGCTCAGGAGTTAAGAGACCAGCCTGAGCAAGACCCTATCTCTATAAATAGAAAAACTGAGGCAAAAGGATAGCTTGAGCTCAAGAGTTGGAAGTTGCTGTAAGCTATGATATCACTGCACTCTACCCAGGGCGACAGCCTAAGACTCTGTCTCAAAACAAACACACACAAAAATTATACTTTTATCTCCTTATAGCAGGAAATTGCATCAGGATTGTTTCATTCAATAAAGTAATTTAACTCAAATTTAGAATGTATTTTGTAGGGTTGGGGAAAGTATATGAGAAATCAGGAGTGTTCTATTTCCTTATCATTTAGGCAAAGTAGTGGGTGGATTGCCTGAGCTCACGGGTTTGAGGCAATTGTGGAGATAGTGTTAGACATTTTGAAAATGTTTAAATTTGCCTTTAACCTGATTATTTGTAGTTTCGAGGCTTTAAATATACATGGATTATTGTTGTCCTTCAAAATTATATTGGTTGGCCAGGCTAAGGCCACCTGTAATACTAGCACTCTTGGGAGGCCAGTGAGGAAGAATTGCTTGAACTCAGGACAGCCTGAGCAAGAGTGAGACCCTGTCTCTAAAAATAGATGAGTGTTGTGGCGGGCACCAGTAGTCCCAGCTACTAGGGAGGTTGAGGCAAGAGGTGAGCTGTGACACCATGGCACTCCCCTGAGGCAAGAAAGTGAAACTCTGTCTCAAAAAAAAAAAAAATTCTCCTCCTGATGTTGGCAGTGCATATCAGAGCTTAACATATACATATCTTTAGTCAAGGGATTCTTTTCTAAGGAGATTAATCAAGTATGTAAGAATGTATTTATAGGACCATTTACCACAGCACAGCACTGATTTTTATATAAACGTTTGGAAATGGTGGAATTATGTGAAGTACTGTGAAGCATTAAAAGTCAAATAAATTTGACTTTTTTTATGCAGTAGGAGATTTATTTATTTATTTATTTATTTGAGACAGAGTCTCACTTTATTGCCCTGAGTAGAGTGCCATGGAGTCATAGCACACAGCAACCTCAAATTCTTGGGCTCAAGAGATCCTCTTGCTTCAGCCTCCTGAGTAGCTGGGACTATAGGCACCTGCCACGACACCCAGCTGTTTTTAGAGATGAGATCTTGCTCTGGTTTGTCACCACAGCTCTGGTTTGTCAGTCCAGTGGCACCTCCTGTGAATGAGAAAGAAGGGTCCCTCTAATGTATATGAGGTTCTTAGCACGTATAGAAGAAGAGTCAATAAATTCTTGTTTAAATATGTTTTTATAACTCTAGAGAGGGAATTTTTTTTTTTGACACAGTTTCACTTTGTCATCCTTGGTAGAGTGCTGTGGCATCATAGCTCATGGCAACCTCAAACTGTTGGATTTAAGTGATTCTCTTGCCTTAGCCTCCCAAGTAGCTAGAACTACAGGCACCTGCTACAACGCCTGGCTATGTTTAGAGACGAGATCTTGCTCTGGTTCAGGCTGGTCTTGAACCTGAGAGCTCAGGGAATCCACCCACCTCGGCCTCCCAAGTGCTGGGATTAGAGGCTTAAGCCACCTCGCTCCGCCAAGAGAGGGAGTTTTTGTTCTTTGTAATCTTTTTCAAAGAATTTCCCCAAGGTAAAATTACTAATGGATCTTGGTTTGGCCTGGTGGATTATGCCAATCATGCCTGTAATCTACCACTCTGGGCCTATGAGGCATGTAGATTGCCTGAGCTCAGGAGTTAAAGACTAGTCTGGGCTCGGCACCTATAGCTCAACCGGCTAAGGTGCCAGCCATGTACACCTAAGGTGGCGGGTTCGAATCCCCAGCCCAGACCCGCCAAACAACAGTAACGGCTGCAACCAAAAAAAAATAGCCAGGCGTTGTGGCAGGCGCCTGTGGTCCCAGCTACTTGGGGGCCGGAGGCAGGAGACTCGCTTGAGCCCAGGAGTTGGAGGTTGCTGTGAGCTGT